AGGGGGGGGTGGTAAGAAGGGGTGAGGGGAGGGGGGAAGATGGGAAGGGGAAACAAAGGAGGAGGCAACAATGCTTGATAAGAAATGTACTCATTAGGGTTGGGAAGTTGCTCAGTGGTAGAGCGCTTGCCTTGCATGCATGAGGCCCTGGGTTCAATTCCTCAGCACCACATAAGCAAAAAGAAAAAAGTCAGAAGTAGTGCTGTGGCTCAAGTGGTAGAGTGCTAGCCTTGAGCTGAAGAGCTGAGGGACAGAGCCCAGGCCCAGAGTTCAGGCCCCACAACTGGACCCCAAAAAAAATTTTAAAAAAAGAATCTAGTAATTCTATGTACAGTGATTTTCTAAAGACAATCATTTGTTGTTCAGTATGACATCTGTGAATTAAGCTGCAGAGCAACAATATGTCTTAAGTAGGTAAATAAACATTATTTCAAAGTACTATCCACACGTATTATTAATTTCAAATACAAATCATTAGTGCTTTCAACAAAATAAACTTAACTTACATCTATATAATTACAAAGTGATCCTGTTGTAATATTTCTACATGATTAGTTTTCTCACATGTTTACATTATTTTAAGAAAGAGAACACATACAAAAACATCCCTATCTCAGACACATATACATACAACTTTCTTACCTCATCATCTGAGTAGCTGTAGGCAGATGCTACAGCCACCCACATCTTACTGGCTACTGTTGCTGCTTGCTTCATGCCAGATTTTAGGACATCTATCTTGGGTCCTGAGAGTATATTATCCAGCTTAAGCCCTGACAATGAATTTACTACAGAGCCCAGTGGGCTATGTGGTGAAGACCGTACCAATGCTGATAAAGATGTTGAACGATCCTTATGAGTTCGATATGGAGTTTGTGGCTTAAGACGCCCAGTAAAAGTTTTTGACCCAGACACGACCGAGGAGCTCATTTCACTTTCTGGATTTTCCTGTGCTGGTGGACCATGATCAAAAGGTAGACTTGATCTCCTTTCTAAAGGATGACTAACTGCAATACCAGTGTTTCCCTCTCCACGCAACTCCATACTAGAAGATTTACTCCCCAGGGGACTTTTTAAGTTCATGTAGCTTTCAATTTCATCAGCCAGATTCCTTGAAATAACTGGAGATAGCATCTTTTCTTCAGAATCAGGAGATTTTTCTTCCATACATTCAGTAGCTAAAAGAGACAACGGATCTAGTCCAGTTTCAACATCTTCCCTCTCAATGGCTTTAACAGTTCCATGTGAATTGCTTCTCTTATTCATTAGATGTTTGGATCCCACTTTCAAGTCTCTGGACTGATTGCTATTAGTATCATTTTGTAGACTATCAAATGTAACTGATGACATAGTTTTAGCTACATTATCATCAATGACAGGCTCTAAGAATTCTTGGCTTTCCTCAAGCATCTCTAACACAGGAGATGATTTTCGTTCAGAATCCCAACTGCTCTCAGATACATGAGTCCTGGTGTCAACCAGATGACCACTAGCAGTTTCAAAGCTATGGGTTCTTTTAACATGAAGAGGAGAAGTCTTAGGACACGTCAATGCTGCTGTGAGAATCTTGGCATCTGCTCCCATCATGATAGCCATTTCACTGGAATTCAAATCCAAACTGCTCTTCTTACGTAACATTCCTGCTCGACTTTCAGAACTAAAACTACAACTCCTCTCTGAAAAATGCTTTTGTCTTCTTTCTCCTTTGTCACCATTCTTCTTGAAATTAGAAACTTCAAATACTGTATCTTCAAGAGGATCTTGAGTAGAAAATAATGAATTTGATGTACTACCTAAAAAGGATAGTGAAAAATTAAAAATGAATTCATTCTCCAATATAACATACAAATGCTTATTGTCTTTTCTCATTGTGGAAGTGACACTTGATATAAGTAAAATGTTCAGAAAATTTGGAAGATATAAAGAAGATAGAGAAGATATAAAAAAAAGTACTCCTACAGGATCTATTCAACCTTGACTCTCAGGAATAATATCTTCTAAATTTTCTGGATGTCTTAATTTTACCATGTGTTTTCACTGTCTTGGCATAGAGATACCTGTAAAAAAACAACATCAACAAAACAGAGGTACCCTGCATCCCTCACTAAACACCTCTATCAGTAAGCACAGATCTACTTTTATTTCTTACATTTTAAGAGCTCATTTACAAAACATATTCTAGTTAAATATAAGACCTTGGAAAATATCTCTTCTTGTCTTAGATTCCATATATTCAATTGAACAAATACTTGTAGTGCTTTCTTAACATGTAGAAACCTCTAGATTGGTCCCAATCATGTAAAAGAAAAAAAAAAAAAAGCTGGTGCCAGTGGCTCAGGTCTGTAATCCTAGCTACTCAGATGGCTGAGATATGAGGATTGTGGTTCAAAGCCAGCCCAAGCAGGAAAGTCCGTGAGACTCTTACCTCCAATTAACCACCAGAAAACCAGAAGTAACGCTATGGTTCAAGTGGTAGAGTACTTACCTTGAGCTGAAGAGCTGAGGGATAGCACCCAGGCCCAGAGTTCAAGCCCCACAACCAACAAAAAGGAAAACAAAAAGCTTGCCGAGAATCTACTTTGCACAAAGTAAGTTTGTAATCACAAAGGAACTGTATATTTATAATCAGCAAAGCATTACTATTTTAAAGTAAAAAAAAAATTGCTTTCAAGTAGAAATATCCAGAACTGTATCTTAGGCTTGGAAAATTCTAAGGTGGCTGATACCTTGAGTTTTTAACAATTTTTCATATATATTCATTCCTTCAACAAATATCAGAAAGCCTAGTTTCAACTATGTGAAATGCCACCAAAGCAATGGTAAATAAAGGAGACATTGAGCCCAGCTCTCAAAGATTCAGTATTTGATCAAGTGAACCAAAAATATGCCACTAGTCTATATAAGCCCAGATTTGAAAGAAGCGGGTAAGTCTTTTTTACTCTGCTGTTATCCAGTTTTTTTCCACTCCAAGACCAAAAGCTATTTTCTATTTGAATCATTATCCAGCAGAATGTTTCTCTATAAAATTCCTATGTTGAAATTTTAATCCCTTTACTGTGATGATTTAAAGAAAGGCCTTTAGGAGATCACTGGTTATAAGGTAGAACTCTCATTAATAGGATTAAGATCCTTAGAAAAGAGGCTCCATAGACTGTCACTCGATTTCAACCACAAGATGATTCAAGGAAAGGTAGGCAGTCTGCATTTCAAAGAAGACCCTTTATGAAGACAGTAGCCTCTGTAAGAAATTTCTGTTATTTGTAAGCTACCTAGTGATATGGTACTGTTATAAAACACTCCTTCAACTAACTAAAAAAACCTTTATTCTTATTTGAGATTCTCTCTTCTGTTTTCCCAGAACCTGATCCTGAATTCAGGGTCTGATGCCTTTGCCATACCTCCAGCCCCAAGATTCTTAGTTTTGTTTAAACAAAGACTTAAAAGTGTTGGGGGGAAATGTTGTCTCTAATACACACTGATCTAGTCTTCTTTTTTTGCGCACACACACGAGTGCATCTGTTGTGGGGCTTGAACCCAACGCCTGGGCTGAGCACTGTCCCTGACGTCTTTTTTTTTTTTGACTCAAGGTTAATGCTCTACCACTTGTGCCACAACTCCACTTCTGGGTTTGCTGGTTTTCTGTTAGTTGGTGATAAGAGTATCAACAACCTTCCTGCCCAGGCTGGCACTGAACAGCAATCCTCAGATCTCAGCTTCCTGAGTAGCTAGGATTCTGGCTTGCTTTTTTTTTTTTTTTTTTTAAGGGGTGGAAGGAGAAACAATATTAAGAGTTTGAATTCAGGGTCTTTCACATGAACCACATCTCAGCCCTCAGGGTTCTTTTTGACCTTTCAAATTAGTACTACTGGTCATAATCATGTCAATTTATTAGAATTAATAAGCATTTAGAAATATTAGCTCAAAAAATTATACTTGCTTTGAAAACTATTCCCAATGTATGAGAAACAGATTTTTCTAAGTATCATTGGTTCTCATTTTATATACAGGAATTTATTGGCACACTTCATTTTCAATTTTAAAATAAAACTGACCATTTCAGTTATTTTTCAGATAGTCTTCAACCCAGATCCTCCTATGTAGGTCTCCTTCATAGTTAGAAGTATATATATGTGCCATGTGTGGTTTTTGACAAGTACAGGGAGCCCTGCATAGTGCTCTCACGGTTTATAAAAAGAGTGGCCAAACTGAAACTAAGTACTACAAGTGGAAAGACATCCCAAATAATAAACATAGCTATCCTTTAAAAACTTAAATGCAGGGCTGGGAAGGTAGCTCAGTGGTAGAGCACTTGCCTTGCATGCATGAGGTCCTGGGTTCGATTCTTCAGCACCACATAAACAAAAAAAGAAAAAAGCCATAAGTGGCACTGTGGTTCAAGTGGTAGAGCGCTAGCCTTGAGCTGAAGAGCTGAGGGACAGTGCCCAGGCCCAGAGTTCAAGCACCACGACCAGAGCCCCACCCCCCCACCAAAAAAAAAACTTAAATGCAAAAGGTAAAAAAATGCAGCAGTAGAGCTCACTGGACACTGATGATAAAAATAAAAATAAAAAAATTAAATGCAATGCTATGCACTGATGGTTCATGCCTATAATCCTAGCTATTCAGGAGGCTGATTTGAGTTCAAGCCCCAATATAGGCACCCATGCCCAAGAGCATGTGTGCACACACATACACACAGAGTTAAACGCAGATATCTCTTTGTATCCTATACTACAATACACCTATGCTCAAGTCTCATATAAAATGGCATATTTACATATAACTTAGGATACATCCTCTTATATGCTTTAAATTATCTCTAGCTTACTTAAAATACCTCATACAATTATTAAGTAATGACATTAAAAAAACCTGGGGGGCTGGGAAGGTGGCTCAGTGGTAGAGTGATTGCCTTGCATGCATGAGGCCCTGGGTTCGACTCCTCAGCACCACATAAGCAAAAAAAGCCAGAATTGGCGCTGTGGCTCAAGTGGTAGAGTGCTAGCCTTGAGCTGAGCTGAAGAGCTGAGGGACAGCGCCCAGGCCCAGAGTTCAGGCCCATGACTGATCAAAAAACAACAAAAAAAAGCCTGGACACAGATGCAAGTTTTTTCTAATATTTTCAATCCATGGTTTGTTGCATAAAACCCATAAACACGGAGAGCCAACTGTATCTGTTGTTGTAGTTGTTGGCTTGTTTGGAAGATAGGGTCTCTCCAAGTAGCTCATGGTAGCGAAACTGATACATAGTTCAGGCTGCCCTCAAACTCAAGATCCTTCTGTCTTGGACTCTTAATTGCTGGGACTGTAGGCACTTACTATTACACTTAGTTCCCAACTACACCATTAAATAACAAGACTTTAACCTCTTCTTTAGCTTATGTATAAGATTCAGATTCACTTCTGGATTTCTAACATGTCTATTATAGTAAGTTAGCAAACTAATGCCATTAAAGACACAGCCTCAATATTTAATAACATATATAGAGACTTACCAGTGCTACCTTTCCTGTTGTTGATATCAAATATTCCAGATGGAGCTTTCACAATACTGCTGCCCCAGGCAGGATGGTCAATAGGACTCTGAGTCTCTGGACTAGGTTGTGAATGATTTGCTACAATAGCAGACACATCACACACCTCTGAAAAAAATATTTGAATGTTATCATTCTTACTTTTGCCAATATCAAAGTAAACTTATCAGAGTAAACATATATATCTATATATACAGATATACAGATATATTGGTGGTGGTGGTGGTGGTTGTGGGGCTTGAACTCTGGGCCTGGGTGCTGTCCCTCAGCTCTTTAGCTCAAGGTCTTGAGCCACAGCATCACTTCCAGTTTTCTGAGTGGTTTATTGGAAATAAGAATCTCGTGGACTTTCCTGCCTGAGCTGGCTTTGAACCTCGATCCTCAAGATCTCAGCCTCCTGAGTAGTCAGTGGCATGAGCCACTGGCGCCCAGCCTATATATGTCTATTTTTAATTCAAGTACGTAACTTATTGCTGATTGGCTTAACTTATGTCAGTCATAAAGGTTACCACTATTGACTGAAATTAAGTGTTTTTTTCTTTAGCATTCAATAATCCTAATTTGAGTATTTTTCAGTGAACTGGCCTTCAGTTGCTATTCTTATTACTTGATAAACAGGAAAAGAATTTGATTCTACAAAATCTGGAGGATAAAATAAGAAACCTATGTAAAACAATAGGGGAGGGCTGGGAAGGTGGCTCAGTGGTAGAGTGCTTGCCTAGCATGCATGAGGCCCCTGGGTTCAATTCCTCAGCACCACAAAAGCAGAAAAAGCTGAAAGTGGCACTGTGGCTCAAGTGGTAGAGTGCTTAGCCTTGAGATGAAGAGCTGAGGAACAGCACCCACGCCCAGAGTTCAGGCCCCACCAAAAAACAAACAAAAAACCAACAGGGGAACTGTGCACCAGTGACTCATGCCTCAATCCTAGCTACTAAGGAGGCTAAGACCCGAGGATTTGTGGTTCAAAGCCAGCCTAGAAAGGAACATTTTATGAGACTCTTATCTTTAATTAAAAGACAGGAGTGGATATGTGGCTCAACTGATGAAGCTCTATCCTTAGGCAAATAAACACAGGTTCAGTGCCCAGGCCCTTGAGTTCAAACCCTAGGACTGGCACAAAAAGAAAATTTTTTTAAAAAGACAATAGGAGAATATCTTACTACCATATACCAAAGTATTCCTTGTATTTCCACAAAATGATTACAACAAATCATCTCTACCTCAATGCGCCCTATAAAAACAAGGGAAAACAGACTTTTTAACAAACCAGGGGAAAATATCAACTTAAGATATTTGAAGCCTTGGCCTGGAAGTTGGCTCAGTGGTAGAGTGCTTGCCTTTCATGCATGAGGCCCTGGGTTTGACTCCTCAGCACACATAAGCAAAATAAAGCTGGAAGTGGCACTGTGGCTCAAGTGGTAGAGTGCTAGCCTTGAGCTGAAGAGCTGAGGGACAGAACCCACGCCCAGAGTTCAGGCCCCATGACTGGGGGGAAAAAAAGATATTTGAAGGCTAGCCAGGCACTGGTGGCTCATGCCTGTAATCCAAACTACTCAGGAGGCTGAGGATCTGAGGATCATGGTGTTTGAAGTCAGCCCAGGCAGGTAATTCCATGAGCCAACGTGAATCTCCAATTAACTACCAGAAAACTGCAAGTGGTGCTGTGGCTCAAAGCAAAAAAGCTCAGGGACAGCACCCAAATCCCAATTTCAAGCCCCAAAAAAGGTATCTGAAAACTAGTAAAAAAAAAAAAAAAGCATTTTAAAATAAATGGAACCCTGGAATACAAATTTCATGGCTCAGTTTAGTCCTACTTTTGTCACAAAGTATCCCTATAACTTTGACAAGTGAATCTTTCAATAGATTGTGCCCTCCTGCAAAATTAAAGGCAACTTGATTTTCAATTTGAAATCAGAGACTATCAAAATCTTCCTTAATATATAGGCCTATGAATTAGGCTTTATTTCCTGAAAATCATCACAACAATTATCAATCAGGATTAACATTTTAATTAATAGTTATCTTAATAAGTACAATTCACAAGCATTAGGACTTTACCTTGTATCTGAACCTTTGTTTTAGTGATCAACTCTTGTGCCACTTGTTCTTCAGACACATGAGTTTCTGTATCATCTTTTATCAGTTCATCCTTAGACCCATAGCCTTGGTCAGACTGACCACCTGTTAAAATGAATGTAAGTTTGTAAATATTTTCATATACTTACAATCCATTCATAAAATATAAAAGAAAATCCCACTGAAATATACAGGCAAACTCTGAGAAAAAAAAAGACAAGGAAGTTCACAAGGAATACATTTTAAAAACAGTGAAAAGCAAAGGAACACATTTTAAAAACAGTGAAAAGTAAAGAACATTGGAAAGAGGAACATCCAACACTGAAGACCATACTACGTTTGAAAGCGCTGTCTGAAGCACTGTCTGAATCTTAATTTCTTCAAGGTAAATTATAACAATGTGGATAAGATGCTTTGAAGTCTCCTTTAAAGTATGCCTGTAGTATGCTGCCTATTTGTAAGAAAGAAAGCACATATATCTGCTTACGTTTGCAAAAAGCAATACTGGAATGACAAACAAGAAAGCAATGAAAATAGTTCTATACCATAAATAGAAGAAAATAACATTGCAAGTTGGTTTTTTTTTTTTTTTTGGTAGGTTATGGGACTTGAACTCTGGGTCTGAGCATTGTCTCTCAGTTCAAGGCTAGCGCTCTACAACTTGAGCCACAGCGCCACTACCATACATAAAAGAAAATAAGATGGAAAAAATAAAGATGAAAGAAAGTTCCTTAAGTGTGATTTATTGGTATTATTTTTGGAGATGTAACACGTTTTCATATGAAATATTAAAACCCCCACTGAAAGGGTCCGAAGAGGACAAATCCAAATGTTTTTATTTGAGTTGGTGGCAGGCAGTACTGGGATTGAAATCAGGGCTTCCATGCTTACTAGGCCAGCACTCTACCACTTCAGTTATGCCCCCTAATCCTCCAAACTATTTAAGTACGTATAACAAACCTGGGAGAAAAAGCCAAACCTAGAATAGCTTAGTAGGCTTATTTCTCACAGGAGAATGGGTGTGATGAATCTGTAATCGTTTTATTATATGTGTAGTACAACTGAGCAAATTAGTAAGTGAAAAGATGTTACTAGAAGACAAGATTCCTACTATGGGACAAAGTAGTTTTGTTTTTAAAAAGTGAACTGAGGGGGCTGGGAAGGTGGTTCAGTGGTAGAGTGCTTGCCTTGCATGCCTGAGGCCCTGGGTTCAATTCCCCAGCACACATAAGCAAAATAAAGCTGGAAGTGGCGCTGTGGCTCAAGTGGTAGAGTGCTAGCCTTGAGCTGAAGAGCTGAGGGACAGCGCCCAGGCCCAGAGTTCAGGCCCCACAACTGGACCAAAAATAAAAAATAAATAAATAAAACTGAGTAACTAAAGAAATCTATTATAATGGGCTCCTATGGCTATTCAGGAGGCTGAGATCAAAGGACTGAAGGTGGAACCTATCCTGGGCAGAAAAATCTGAAAGACTCCATCTCAAAAAAAAAAAAGAGGGGGAGGAATAGGGGGACAAGACGTACAGCTCAAGTAGTAGAGCACCAGCCAAGTGAGAAGACGAATCCCTGAGTTCAAGCCACAGTACCAGCACAGAGAGAGAGAGAAATCAGAAAGATGTCAATGTACTGGTATAATAGTGCACACCTGTAATCCAAGCATTTAGGAGTGTTAAAGCAGCAAGACTTTAAGACTAGCATGGGCTACATAGCCTGAGCCACAGTGAGACCATCTCAAAACTAAAACTAAACTAAACAAAAAAGATGTCAACGAATGACACAAATTATGTACTACCTTCCATATTCTGCTACTTATTACACTGTCACCCAGACTTTAGGTTTGCCATATGTCAAAAGTAGTATCTTTAAATACTACTGTTTTAAATGGTTACTTTCAGTGGCCGTTGTGTCAGTTCCCTCAGAAAGTCTGGTATCCTAACTATGGGGCCATGAGATGGGACAATATACTGGGAACAGGTGGACTGATTATATCCATATATACCCCTAAGGAGCTCAGTGACTCAGTATCAGGTACTAAGTAGAAAGATTCCATAAAATAAGCCTTAATGAAATGAGCAATTTATACACTTGGGCTAGAAGACTCCAAAAGTATCGAATGGCTTCACTAGATACCCTATGGAAGACATGAAGGTTCAATATTTAGTTTCATGTACAAATATGAAAAAGGCAAAGGATCTTTCCAAGTATTGGTCTTTACACAAGTTACCTGCAATTACTAGCAGGCTATTTTTTCTATTAAGGAACTAAACTGCCTTAAAATGAGCCGTATAAAAGTTTAGAGGAGTAAGAAGGGAAGGAGATTTATTTGCATGTTATTATCATCATTCCTGATAAAATGGATTCAGAACAAAAATTATATTCTTTATTTTTCATATGTGAAACTCATTTCTTCTCAAGTATTAGGAAAAATAAACAAACACCACAGGAAACAAAACAAAGCAGCTTTAAAATTAAAGTCTCAGCCAGGCATCGGTGGCTCACACCTATAATTCTAGCTACTCAGGAGGCTGAGAACTAAGGATCCCAGTTCAAAAACCAGCCCAGACAGAAAAGTCTGAGAGACTCTTATCTCCAATAAAACACTCAGAAAACTGGAAATGGAGCTGTGGCTCAAGTGGTAGAGTGCTCACTTTGAGCTGATAGCTCCCAGGCCCAGAGTTAAGACCCACGACCAATCCCCCTGGTAAAAAAAAAAAAATAAAGTCCCCAAAATTTCTATTTGTTCATTTACCAATAGGACTGAAAATTTTACAAACAAAATTGTGGTTTATATATAGCCTTAGGTTGTATTAATGATTTATACATGTTGCTGTGTATACAGGAATGTAGTTTGTGGCACAAAAATCAAGCAGACTGGTTTTTGGAAAGCAAAAGACACCTCAACAGGTGAACAATGAATGGGTTCTTTAATGTCAATAACACTATTTTACACAATGATGCTACAACTCAACCTTGTAAGAACTATTTTTTGTTTTGTTTTTTTGGCTAGTATGGGGCCTGAACTCTGGGCCTGGGCACTGTCCCTCACCTCTTCAGCTCAAGCCTAGTGCTCTACCACTCAAGCCATAGCACCACTTCTGGCTTTTTCTGCTTATGTGGTGCTGAAGAATCGAACCCAGGGCCTCATGCATGCAAGGCAAGAACTCTACCACTGAGCCACCTTCCCAGCCCTTGTAAGAACTACTAACAAACAAAATATATTTTCAAATACCACAATAAATTCATTTTGTAAATTGACCAAAAAATGTTAGATGGATAATTTCAGTAGGGGCTAATATCATTACTCTTATCTGAAGCCAAGAAACTGCTTCTATTTGTAATGATATTTACACTAAAACATGACATCTTTCCCCCACCCTTGAATGTCAGCAAAGTTTAACCTAATAAATGGAAAATTACCTGAAGTGGTTAACATTCAAGGGTAGAATTAATGCACACGTGTATCCATAGCTTCATGTCATAAAAGTCTGTCTGCAACCCACACCATGACAGCCAAGGACAAATGCAGCACCAAGAAACAGCACAGAGCAAAAAAAGCAGAGCAACAAAGAGCAGAGAAAAGGAAACTTCAGTCACTGAGACAAGTTCATCAGATGAAGCATAGGAATTAGATTCAGAATTCTTTTTAAAGGAAGACTTGAGATATTAACAACCACTACCACCACCACAACAAAAAACAACACAAGAAGGATGTGCAACACACGTATTTCTGCCCAAAGTGCTACTTTTATTACACTTATTTTTAACTTTAGAGGACAGAGATTCTGCCCATGGCTATGTATATACAATAACTTCTCAGATTAAAAAAATACAAGTCTTTTCAGGTGAACAGACTATCTTTTACTTTCATAGTGCATGGCTTACTTTCTTTCCTCTTTCATACCCATAATCTCAACTTTCTAAGATGTATTTTCCATTTAATTAAAAAATTTACAGTTGTGTCACTAATGTGTTGAAGTGCTCTCAATTTCTAACAACTGTGTCATATACTTCATGAGTTAATACTGAACAATATGAAGTGTTATGGCAGAACATTGTCTATAGCACTCTTGTTTATTTTATACTTTAGGTAAAAAGAGAAGTACAGTGTCATTTTCTCTCATTAATACTCTGCAAACTCATTTATATTGCACAAACTCTGGAGGTTTGTAAAACTCTGAAAGAGGAAAGGCTCAACATGACAGTAAGTGAAGGGTTAGTTAAATACAGATTTAGTACCTGTGCTAGAGTGATTATCAATGGAATCAAGTCTGATTAAGTCTCTGACGAAGACTGTGTGCTCCCCATTGTTAGCATCATTAGAACTATCCACGCTACCGTGGCTCACCGTGTCCCCATCACTTCCACCTGTGGCACTCTGAGGAGCTAAAGGTAAGAACAATGCAGTTCAATAACGCATGCACTAACACCTCTGATGCTAAACACGAATGACCCAAAGTTCATTTGTAATTACACAACACTTTCTAGGTTTCTGATTTTAAAAATGCCTTTGAACTAAGCTATCCTGTCTTTAGTTGTATATTAAAATATCAACCAGAATATAATTTAAGCTCTACTACATATTAAAAACTCATATGCCTAAAAAGCTAGGATTCAAAAAGGAAGGCTCTTCCCACAGTACCTGATATTGGGGAGACTGGTGAGATTTGCATAGTCTTTTTAAGTGGCTTCCTAAATTGTGCCAAGCCATGTACCACATTCCGTACTTTTGTCCAAAGAAAGATACCACTGCGGGTACTACTAGGCCACTGGCTCTCCAAAACTACCTAAAAGTAAAATAAAAGTTAAAAGCATCACAAGGAATATTTGATTGAAAAATATACAATTACATATAAAAGGTTATGCCAGCCAGCCATACTTATTAAAAAAATATTTGAACTGGGTGCATAGCATTTGGGAAACTGAGGCAGGAAGATCACTAGTTGTGGACTAGCCTGGAGTACACAGAGAAAACCTTTCTCAGAGAAAAACAAAATACAACCAAAAAAAAATCATAATTCAAGGCCAGCCTGGAGAAAAAAGTTCATGAAACCTACATCTCAAAAAAAAAAAAAAAAAAGTAGGGGGCTGGGAATGTGGCTTAGTGGTAGAGTGCTTGCCTAGCATGCATGAAGCCCTGGGTTCCATTTCTCAGTACCACATAAAAAGGAAAAGGTGGAAGTGGCACTGTGGCTCAAGTGGTAGAGTGCTAGCCTTGCGTAAAAAATGCTCAGGGAAAGCACCCAGGCCCTGAGCTCAAGCCCAGGACTGGCAAAAAAAAAAAAAAAAGTTGAATGTGGTAGTATACACTTCCCATTTAAAAAGGGCTGGAGATGTGGCTCAAAGAGTAGAATTGGGGCTGGGAAGGTAGCTCAGTGGTAGAGCGCTTGCCTTGCATGCATGAGGCCCTGGGTTCAATTCCTCAGCACCACATAAGCAAAAAAAGCTGGAAGTGGCACTGTGGCTCAAGTGGTAGAGCGCTAGCCTTGAGCTGAAGAGCTGAGGGACAGCGCCCAGGCCCAGAGTTCAGGCCCACAACTGGACCCAAAAAAAAAAAAAAAGTAGAATTGCCCAACTAGCAATCCCTGAGTTCATACTCCAATATACTCTAATACCACCAAAAACACCACTAAACATCATTAGTCATCAGAAATGTAATTAAAGGTCCTGTGTTCAAACTCAAGTACCATTCTCCCCACCAAAATAATGAAAATTAACATTTTAGGAGAAAGCAATAGTTTACACCTATACTCCTAGCTACATGAAAGGCACAGTTTGGGAAGCTTGCCAGTCAAGCAAAAAGTTCTTAAGACATATGGTAGTGCTTGCCTATCATTCCAGCTACATAGAAGCATAAACAAAAGGACTGAAGTACAAGCTGGTTTGGACCACAAACATAAGCTCTTACTTGACAAATAATGAGCATAAAAGGCTGGGGCATGACTCAAGTGGTAGAATGCCTGCCTACCAAGCAGAAGGTTCTGAGTTTAAACTCCAGTACTGCTCTTTCCTACAAAAAGGAAAAAAAAGGGGGGGGGGCTGAGAATGTAGCTTAGTGGTACAGTGTTTGCCTAGAATGCTTGAAGCTCTAGTTCCATTCCTTAAGTACCACATAAACAGAGAAAGCTAGAAGTGGTGCTGTGGCTCAAGTGGTAGAGTGCTAGCCTTGAGCAAAAGAAGCTGGGGGGGGGAGGGGGCTGGGAAGGTAGCTCAGCGGTAGAGTGCATGCCTTGCAAGCATGAGACCCTGGGTTCGATTCCTCAGCACCACATAAATAGAAAAAGCTGGAAGTGGCACTGTGGCTCCAGTGGTAGAGCGCTAGCCTTGAGCTGAAGAGCTGAGGGGCAGCGTCCAGGCCCAGAGTTCAGGCCCCATGACCGGCAAAAAAAAAAAAAAAAGAAGCTCAGGGACAGTGCCTAGACCTTGATTTCAAGCCCCAGTACTGGCAAAAAATCAAAAAAAAACCTCATGACATCATAAAACACTTGTTAGAATGGGTATTATAAAAAAGAACAATAGTGTTAAGAATATACAGAAAAGAAAATCTTTGTAAAATGGTGATGAGATATAAATTAGTACAGCCATTATGGAAAACAATATGGAGAACGTCAAAAAACTAAAAACAGAACTACCATACAATCCAGTAATCCTACTACTGGTTTCACATCTAAAATAAGATCAGGATCTCTCAAACAGGTATCTGCATTCTCATGTTCACTGTAGCCATATTCACATTAGCCAAGGTATGGAATTAATCTACATGTCCATAATGAACAAATGGATTAAAAAATGTGTTACAGCTGAGTCCCCGTGACTCAAACCTGTAATCCTAGCTACTCAAGAGGCTGAGATCTGAAGATCACGGTTCAAAGCCAGCCCGGGCAGGAAAGACTGTGAGACTCCTATCTCCAATAAACCACCAGAAAACTGGAAGTGGCGCTGTAGCTCAAGTGGTAGAGCGCTAGCCTTGAGCTGAAGAGCTCAGGGACAGTGCCCAGGCCCAGAGTTCAAGCCCCACGACCGACAAAAAAAAAAAAAAGACTGTTCTCTCACTTGCAACAACCTTGAGGACATTAAGTGAAACAAGTGAAAACATTAAGTGAACCTTGAGTTAAGAGAAACAAGCCAGCACAATAAGATAAATACTGCCTGTTCTCGCTCTCGTTCTCTCTCTTTCTCTCGTTTTCTCTCTCTCTCTCCTGGGCTTGAACTCAGGGCGTGGGCACTGTCCTTGAGCTTCTTTTGCCCAAGGCTAGCACTCTAACACTTGAGCCACAGTGCCACTTCTGACTTTTTTGTTTATGTGGTACTAAGGAATAGAACCCAGGGCTTCAAGCCTGTTAGGCAAGCACTGTACCACTAAGCCACATTCCCAGCCTGCCTTTCTAAAAAACTGAACTTACAGAAGCAGAGAAAAACAGAGTGGTGGTTATAGGGACTTTGGATAGGGATAATTAAGGATGACTGAAGTATGCAAATTTTCACTCAGACAAGAGAGATACATTTAAGAGCTCTATTGTATAACCAGATGGTTTCACTTAGTAAACATGCCTTTAAAAATTTAATAATACAGTGGCTGGGAAGGTGGCTCAGTGGTAGAGTGCTTGTCTTGCATGCATGAGGCCCTGGGTTTGATTCCTCAGCACCACATAAGCAAAAAAAAAAGGCGCCAAGTGGAGCTGTGGCTCATGTGGTAGGGCGCTAGCCTTGAGCTGAAGAGTGGGGGGACAGCGCCCAGGCCCAGAGTACAAGCCTCATGACTGGCAAAAGATAAATAAAAATTTAAAAATTAATAATACATAATAAACTTAATAAAATTTTTAATTAAAAACTTAAAAATTGGCTGAGAAGTTGGCTCATGGTAGAGTGCTTGTCTCCCATGCATGAGGGCCTGGGATCGATTCCTCAGCACCATATAAGCAGAAAAAGCCACAAGTGGCGCTGTGGTTCAAGTGGTAGAGCGCTAGCCTTGAGCTGAAGAGCTGAGGGACAGTGCCCAGGTCCAGAGTTCAGCCCCCACGACCGACAATAAAAAACTTAAAAATTACTATAAGTACACTTTAAGTATTCTTACCACATAAAGGGAATAAAGCAATACATAATAATTAACTTGACTGAGCCATTCCAAAAGGTTTAAATATTTGAAAACATGTACATAATTATCAGAAGAGAAAAAAGGAATATGTCCCCCAAATCTCCTCTTAAGGAAACTTTCCTGGAATAAAAAGGTACAGAAAATTGTCATTCTTAATAAGATAGATTACTTAATGTCAATCCTACTTACCTTATTGTAATAACCATAAGTAATAGCATTTGGCTTGATTTTAGCAGTTTTCATTTCAAATAAGACTCTCACTGCTAAAACAGGATGACCCCAAAGTCCACAAAGCTGCATTACTACTCGATAGCATACCTAACAGGAAATAATATCAAACCATTAATAGTATATTATTCTGTTTACAACTTGTAGAGATTTTCTTAAAAGATTCTACTCAATTCTTTGTAATGGCTTTAGCATTTTAATAGATGACTTTTAAAACTATTTATCAGCATTATTGATAAGACCTATGTATACATGCTCTTTATTCGAGCTAGTAAATCTATTCAGCCAATGATTATTCTCCTTACTATGAAAAATAATTCCCTTCTAAAATTAAAATATCTATCTCCCTACTCACCATGCTTTATATTCTATGCTAAAGCAATTAAAGATTGTAGTTCCCAGATGCCAATTTAACAAAAAAGGTCTGTAAACTCACGTCTTTAAAAGAAAATGACAAGCCCAGCAACAATGGTTTATACCTGTAATCTTAGCTACTCAGAGGCTGATATCTGAGGATCATGGCTGAAAGCTAGCCTGGGCAGAAAAGTCCTTGTGGGACTCTTATTTTCAACTAAGCACCATAAAATCTGGATGTAGAGGTGTGGCTTGAGTGGTAGAGTGCTAGCATTGAACAAAAAAGCTCAGGGACAGCACCCAGGCCTTTAGTTCAAGCCCCACAACCAAAACAAAACAAAACAAAACAAAAAGACAAGAAGCTGGGTGCCAGTGGCTCATGCCTATAATACTACTCAAGAAGCTGAGATCTGAGGATCGAAGTTCAAAAAGCAAACCAAGGCAAAAAAACTCTGTGAGACTCCTATCTCCAAGCACCAAAAAAAGCTGGAAGTGGAGATGTGGCTTAAGTGTTAAGCGTGCTACCCTAGAGTAAAAAAGATGTGGCTTAAGTGTTAAGAGTGCTACCCTAGAGTAAAAAAGCTCAGATTGGCGCTCAGGACCTGAGTTCAAGCCCCAATACTGGAGTGTGTACACACATACACACACACACACATGCACACGCACACCAAGAGCTATGGGTGGTGACTCATGTCTATAATTCTAACTACAGAGGTGGCAGAAACTGGGAGGAACACAGTTGCAGGCCAGCCTGGGCAAAACATTCACCAGACCCCATCACAACGAAAAGATGGGTGTAGTGACACATAGCCTGTCATACTATACCTTCGGAAACATAAATAAGATCATAGTCCCAATAGCCACAGCTTCACTTCTGGGCTTTTGGGGTAAATTGGAGATATGAGTCTCACAGGCTTTCCTGTTCAGGATGGCTTTGAACTGTGGATTCTCAGACCTCAGCTGCCAAATTAGCTAAAATTACAGGTGTGCACCATTAGCATTCAGTGACACAAAAATAATTTTTAAAGAAAAAAATAGTGGAGAGAAAGCAGTAGGTTTCTCACTTTCCTTAACTGTTAACTGAATTATATCAATGCCTACCTCTTTTAGAATTTAAAGATAAACAAATGCATGTAGCATATTGTTCACTGAATGTTTACTATAAAAAAGGCACAACTGTATTATCAACTGATTTAACCTTGCAATCACATGAAATAATTCTATGATTAGTATATATTAGTAGTTTTCCAGAGGCAATTTTATTCTCCAAGACATATTGGCAAGGAGGCATTTGTAGTTGTCATAACTTGTGGAGAAGAGGATGTTACCAGCATCTATTAGGCACATTGTTAAACATCCTAAAATATAAAGGAAAGGTCCTCCAAATAATAATTGTTTTGGCCAAAATGCCAATTATGCCAAAGTTGAAAAACTAGGAGCTACAATTTCAAATGAATAATCTGAAACATAAGACATGTATGTAATTAGCCCTGGTGTCATGTGGTTTAGGACTGTAATCCTAACTACTAAAGAGGCTAAAATGGGAAATAAAGGTTTAACCCTACTCCAGGCAAAAAGAACTTCTTGAGGGGCTGGGAAGGTGGCTCAGTGGTAGAGCGCTTGCCTTGCATGCCTGAGGCCCTGGGTTCGATTCCTCAGCACCACATAAATAGAAAAA